GGGAGATAATTTTAAAGAATGTAAATTGGTTAAATGATTTACACTATTAACATTTATTTATAGCAAGAAATTTATTTATTTGTTTGGTGTATGGTTGGAGTCTCGCGAATCGGAATTCGCGACAAAAAATACGGAGATGCGGAATACTGTGATTCCGAAAATGCCGTAAATTATCATATTTGACACTAAAATTTTCCAGCTAAGAAGATATGTGGGACATGAATCATAGAACGTGCTTTAAAACAGATAATTTACAAAATTGACCACAAAATATTTTTCCATGGTCTTCATCTATGGTTAGATGGTAATGATGTGATATTAAATAGTATTCTGAAATTTCGTAGTTATAAAACAATTTTGGGAATCTGAACTCACCATCACTATGTCAGTTAATCAGTATTTGATCCACCAACATGGATCGATCATGATCAAGAAATTGAAAGAAAATATTTTTTCTTTTTGTTATAATTCTTAAAAATTCAACAAGATCATACAGTCGTATATTGTTCGACGAGACTCACAAGAATTCCAATTATTTCAATGCGATTTCTTATGCGCAATTCACCAAAATTTCTACATCGTTGCGTTAAAAAAGTGAAACAAAAGGATAATCATAAATCCTCGTTTCTGCGTTTTAACAAAAATCAAAATCCAAACACAGAACTTCTGCACTAAAATACCCTTCAAAGTTTTTCGGAAGATTCTAGAAGGCAAATTAAAAAGTTTAGGGAGTTAAACAAAAAAAGCATTCGTGAAGAAGTGTCACTTCGTTTCAAACTTTTTGTTGTTTAGCTTTAATCCAAAACCACAATTGCATGGCAATTCTTGTTCATTATTCCCTGTCATACTTCCTCGCGACGCATTATTGTCATCTGGCACCCAGCCCACACTAATATTCCAAAAAAATTCCGTATTTTAGATATTATGACCTAACTTGAAATAGACGAAAATGTTGGATAATACAGGTATGCTCTATTTTTATTGGCGCTTATTTGTACGTCTTTCGTAACCCTTCCGATCTCACACTTCAGTTACGCATTAATTTTTAAATTTCGCAACAAGATTGTTCATTTCCTTATAATAACACATTTTCGATTGAACGTATACCATGAAAATAATGCTTTCTGAAATAATTACTATGATGTAATGCATTTACTCAGTTCAATCAATGGCTATACAAATTGCGCCTGTGATGCACTTACGATTCTCGCGACAATATCCTAAGTTCAGGATGACCTTGCACCGGTTCGACATCATCTAATACCCATTTCTACACTTTCATTTTCGCCACTTGTGATATATTTTTTGTTTATCTTATTTCAGATGCACATATATCACAGTGATAAATTTTAAAAAAAAAGTGATTATCGGAAATAGTCCGAAATATGAGTGACAAGGGTGTCACTGATATCAATTCGACATTTGCACTACGAAAAATAATCACATGGTCATTTCATGGCTATACCTTCTATGGAAATTTCTAAAATATTCATTGTTGAATTATGGGACTACCAATTACATTCAAAATGGTTGACACATTCAAGCAAAATTCAGAAAAAGTATTTTTGGAATTGTGCAAATTATGGGAAGAATTTGTGAAACAATTTATATTTCATCAAGAAAGTTCTAACAGCGCAACGTTTGACTATTTGTTTATAATGTTACAAACTAATGAGTTGGATGAAATGAGCTGAACTTATTCAAATGAATTTTTCGGTGTTTTTCTAAATCTTGAGTCTCATTTTACTGTTCTTCATGAGATTCGCCTTTTTGATGGAAACTTTTGTCCTGTGTCTTCATTCCAAATCTTTGCTATATCATTTTAAAACCGGAAAACAGTTCAGGTAATTCTAATGAAGTCAGAAATGATAATACATTCATCCTCATAATGCAGATTCATTGCAAATACTGTTTTCATGTCTCCGAAGTCAAAGGATGTGAGTGGCAATAGCAGCACTTCCATAACAAATTGCCGCATGAAATTCGCTTTACTGTTTGCTCCACCATAATCGGATATGCAATAACAAATCCGATTCTAAGTTTATTTTCTTTCTAATTTGGAAGTATTGTCAATAAAGAGCACAATTCCAACTTGGTGAAGAGCTAGCATTAAAACCGCTAGTAATAGTTTTAAGCATTTCTTTCTAGAAGGTCGCTGCAGGGTGATCATACTTTCTCCCAAATGCTGTTCAATAGTCTGCTGCGATTAGGTTTACTGATCAATCGAACTTGTGATACAACAAAATTTGACGACAAACTCTTTGTTACAGCAAAAGAGTTCAGCACACGGTCTAACTCTTTGAAACAAAAATCGTTTCCTAAATGGTCGATTTATCGTCATTTATTTAATATCACTAATTTATGTACAAACGAGGCAGTATACAAGTAGGCATGAACAGTCATTGTGAAATGTAAATTTTAATTTGACATTATATTTTTGCAATAAAAACAGCAGTAGTTTCTTACAATTGCTATTGTAGTAAAATTACTTTCATATCGGATTAGACCCAGAAAAATATTTTGTAATATTCCTAAAACAAAGCATAAACCTGAGAAATGGATATGAACTTCGAAACAGATTGCCCAGAGGAATTCAGTATATGCTGTATAGTTTCTCATTTATTCTAAATTTTTGAATATTTTTATGATTTCACGATGAAGCCAATGTTCTCTTTATAAAGGACAGTTAAAAAAACGAAGGGACATTTTGCCTCTCTAGAATCACCTGTTCAAATTCAGTTTCACGATGAAACGTGGTGGCAATAGTAGAAAAAGGAGTTGGCTAACTTCTGGAAGAAATTTGGTCCGACACAAAAGAGCCAGATGCGATATTTAACTCATTTTATATGAAGGTCTTAATTCTATCCTCAAAATACAGAACAATCAAAGTTGTATAAGTCAGCATCTCATTACAAGTCGAAGTTATTTAAAGTTAAATAAATTTCTGATCTACTTTGACAGATTTCTACTTTATGGTGATTAGTTTTTTTTTCGTTGCTATGAAAAAGAAATGTACAAACTGAAAATAAACTAACTCTTCGAACCGTTCATTTATCATTGAATGATAAGCAACACTGTAGCATCATCCGCACATGCTCTCTTATCACTTTGTTCAGGTATCTCAGATACGTAATGACATGATAACAAAATCAAGCGATTAAATTGGAAATTACTTTCTATCTATAGCATTCCTGAAACGACATAATTCGTTATCATCAAAAATGTGACATTCGTCTAGAGCGTTAAATAATTCCGTTACAATCCTTTGTTGCACTGTGTCCTTTTCAGGTATGTAAATTTATAATCAAGTCTCATCTGCTATGCAAAATTTTCAATTCAATTTGAGAGAGAAATGAATTTAAATCATGTTCCATTCAAGTTCATTTTTGTCTCAAATTATTCCTCAATGGAAAAGATGATGTCGGTGGGTATTGCAATCCGTTGCACTGGAAAGTTGAAAAATCTTTCTTGCAAAGGATCAACTGCTATTACAATTTCAGTAACATTGAATTGAGAAACTAAGTGTAGACACCTGCCAATTAATGATAAATAAAAATAAGCAATTACATTATGATCAGGTATGGTGATACCGGGGCAAATATCGCCCTGTGGGATATGCCTTACGATAGAATGAAATACTGAAGTCAGAAAGGTGGTATCATACCAAATGATGCAGAAGTGAAAAACGAGATCTGGAGACACTTAGCAATCTCTGTGATTCTCGATATATATATATATATATATATATATATATTCTCGCTAGATGGAAAATAGTAGGCCGATAGTTTAGAAGTGGTTTCGAACCACAAAATGCATAAGCAGTTTTAAGTAAAAGAAGGAAGGGAAATGAAAAAATAGAGGAAGTGGAATAAAATAAGGTTGAATGATAAGAACATGGAGAAATACATCTTACGTATTACATCTCATGCTGTTTTTTTACTTTATTAAAGTAGTTCTTATATAAAAAGGTAGTTTTTTCTTATAAATTATTGTACTTCTTATATTATTTTTTTGCTTTATTAAAGTAGTTCTTATAAAAAGAATGTTTTAATTCCTTTAGCGAACTCAATTCCCATGGGAAACTGCAACAACAACCGATGAAACGGCTATTTCGCGGGATCACTATACTAAAGTGAAACGTACTGTTTCTAACATTTTCTAAAGCAAAATAAAACAACGATTTCAGGCGGATTTTGAAGTACCATAAATGAAATTCCAAGCAATTCGGGATTTCGGTGACAAAACACCCGAAAAGGTTCCGAATATGTGGAAAATTTTAGAACAAATATAAAATGAATGGCAAAATTCAAATGGAAGAAGTGTATAATATGAAGATAATCGGTTGCGAACTATCGTGGTCAAACTTAGATTTACATATATATGGAAATGTTGGATGGTCATGAAAACATCAGAAAAGTATCGGATAGCATTTTTGCAGCAACTGTATCTAAGGACCATTCGATACAGAAGCTTGGGACCACTGAGGAAGTTGGTCATAAATATCAAGAAGAAGGTTTTAATTACGTGATGGGTAAAATCCGACAAATTCTGCCACGACTACGACATCGCAAATCAGGTTGATGAGTAGCAACAAACCTTTGAAATTTGATGTGCTTGAAAAATACGTTTCTACCAAACCTTAATAATGTCTCAACACAAAGCTGATAAACAGGTTGAGGAAATCCAATCAGTTAGGTTAGTTTAATCCTTAAAGTGAATTTTGCAGAACCATTCATAGCTCTCGAACACTCGCGAAGTCAAAACCAAAGTCTTGCAACAGCGGGTGGAAGAGTTCCCGTAAGTCAATACTTTTGACCATCTTTTTTTTATTTAATTTCGGCAAAAAAAAGGGTTCATTTTTCTTCTCACTCATTAACTAATATTACCAAAATTTTCAAATAAAAATTTTGGATCATTTTAGATAACATCAGCCGATCAACAATCATATGCAGAAGCAGGCATTATCCTACTCCTTTTTTTTTTTTGTTTAAATTAATCATATATCTTTTATCTGAAAATATTTTTTTTTGAAAATAAGCCTTCTAGCCAAAACAGGTTAACACGATTATTCCTCACGAGTTAATTCAGTATTAATAGACCTAAAATCATTCCTGATCAATAATCACGTTAATATCTGTCCGTTTGAATAACGTGTATTTGATACATTTAATAATGAAATATAATTAACAGCTAGGAATTAATTTTTTTGTAGTTTCTTTCCTAACAAATAACATAATTTAATATGTTTGTGTTTGTTTGATAGATGTAACGATGGGAACGAGCGGAATGACATTAGGCACTGAACATATTGCAGAGATGATGCAAACAAGCAACGTATAATTACACGTTTCCTTATAAAATTGCGTGGAATATTAAGCTCTAAAACCATTAAATAGACGTAATAATACTCAAAAAGAAAGGTTTGAAAACTGATTAAACAAATGAAAGGAGGGTTAAATTAATCTCCAATAAATACCGAAGTGAGTAATTAAGGGACACAATACACGGGAAAAAATCGATAACAAGTAATCAGTTTCAAGTTCTGGACTTATGCATTTGAATTTGAGTAGTGAATAGAATCCCACTGTAGTATAATTATCAAGTATAATAGCATTAGTTATATAGGTCTAAATATACATTCTTGGTTTACCTAATTAGGCATTTGAAAGGCAAAAAATTTTTTCAGATTCATTCTATAATTGAGTTCAGTCTTACTTGTGATGTACTGTTTTGTATTTAGGATGAAACAACAACGCAAATATTGTCCAGGAAATTAATGAAGGGTTAGCTTTGAAATTTGATGAATGAAATTATGGTTTTTGCGCTTGAGGCTCTAATAGTTTCAACATTATTAAGCCCACTCTTGCTAACAATAGTTAAACCTCAGTGTTATGACAGTTCGCCTACCTGTACTGGATTCATTTTCCATCAACATGGTTGAAAGTGAACTTAATATCCGGATACTTTTGCAACATTGAATTCTCCGGCGTTCATTTCCAGAACCAGAAGAAAAAAAATTGAATGTGGATATACATCATTTCCGTAAGCCACATGTCCTACGAAAACCCGACTACTGGTTTATCATTTTCAAAGGGACAATAGCATCACTCTGTATAGCACTGAACACCATTCATTTGCTGAACATTGTTGGATTATTCCCGCCAACTTTTAGTTTTTTCAAACTGAAAGCTGCAAGTTACAATGTAATGTTACTTCAGAGGAAATTTTTGCAAGTTTAATTTTTAGCCTAGATATAAATGTGCTGGCCTAGTCTACTCCTAAAAGATTCACATCTTTCTCCATGCTTTACATAATGTGATTCAGTTTCAAACTTTTGTGAATACGTTTAGCTCGCAAATTCAGAGTATTTTTGCAGCATGCGATAGCGTTCGCAACGAGTAATATCAATGAATTGCTCAAAAATCGTGTTGGTTTAGTTGTTCGATGGGTACCATATTCAGAAGTACCAGAAATCGAAACTTACTCAAACTGCAAAGGTATTTTTATTTAATCGAATTTCTTGATAAATACATCGAGCTGTGATGAGTGAGAATTTTAATTACTCAACTTCTATTTCAAATTGAAATAGTGAATCCATTTCTGATAATTTTCGGTATTGTTTCTGTCATAGCCACAATTTTTAAAAAAGACTTTTAGGTAGAACTGTCAATTCTCTACGCAATTTTTAGTTCTGATCAATAATTATCAATGGACCCAGTGGACAGAATTTGAGAAACAACCTGATCAACATTGCGGCATTAAGACATATGTTCGATATTATAATTTAAGAATTATAAAGGTGGTCCAAAGTGCCACCTCAAGAGAGACACCACCAACGTATTGTCCTGCAACAGTGCAATATAAACATACATGGGAGCGTGCTTGTAAGCTCTTCAGCACAACAGGAAGATAACAAATGACAGTCACATTAATTCATTTCTTCACGTAAACTAAACATGATCAAAAGGAGTACCTCAAAAATGCTATATGCTATATTTCATTTTTTCCCGTTTAACAATTAAGCTACAAAGCGAAACTTGTAACCTGTGGATAGATAAAGCAAGATTTCGAAAATTACCTTTTCTGTGACTTAAAAAATATTGCTGCTGTTAATGAAAATTCAGTAAAAATGAAGTCAATGACTTAAATCAGTAATTGGAATGACCTAATAATCCTTTGTATTCTTTCTCCAACTTTACAAAACTTGCCTGGTCTGAAAATTTTGAAAGAAGGAAGAAGAAATGATGAAATATAATGAGATTTCTTCACTTGCACTTTTTCTGTTCATAAGCATTATTTAAGAAAAGGACTAAATGTCAACAAAATTTATCAACAAACGGAATTTATGAAGAAATGAAACATTAATTTAAAATTATATATATATATGTATGTATATATATATATATATATATATATATATATATATATATATATATATATATATATATATATATATATATATATATATATA